ACTTTCTCCATTGCACACCCCGAAACTTGATTCCATCGTGCCCACGCGGAACAGTTCACCAAAATTTCTCCGACACTCAGCGTCCTTCGCGATTAAATTGGCTTAACCTGTTTATCGAAATTTTCATGACTTGATTTCTCACTTATTTTAAATTGCCTCTTTGGCATGCATCAATTCTCAATTAGGCAATGATATATGTTGATCGGTAGAAATCCCGCCACCCCTTGCCGGGGAAAGTCTTGGTACCGTGATGCGCATAAAACTCACACACGGCAGGGGCACGACAAATAGGCACTTCCCCATCCGAGAAGATAACCGCCGTAGTTATGCTCAGCAGTGGATGACATCAGAACTTGTAACACTACTCTGTTAATAATGATGTCGCGTTTTGTCGTTGTATACCGTTATTTCATAACTTCTATGAATAGAAAGTTAATGAAAGCTTTGCTCTTTGTTTAGAGCTCAGCACAATTGGATACAATTTGAAACTTGAGCACAATGTGGGAAAATTTGATTCCTGTACTAGAAAACCTAATATTTTCAGGATATGAACAGCAGTAATTGTTTCAATTCATTCGCATTTTCCGGATCCTCACCATTTCTATTCCCATTTTCATTCCCGGGTACAAGCAGTACATCCACTCTGGTTCTCTCATTCAGTCCACCTCAGTCTCAGTGTCCAAGCCTACTACCGACCCAGCATCATACCAAAAGTTCTTTCTTATCCAGTGGAAACCATTCAGCTCGAAGTAATGCGCTTACATCACCCTCTTACATCCTGTCTCCACCGGCGGAACTCAGTACACGTTCCACCTTATCCTTAGTTCCCGATCTTTCGGTACCACATGGTGAAGTCCGCTCTGGTAGTTTGGGCTCGACGCACACATGTTTCCATGTTCACCAGCTTCATTCACTCAAACCACGTTCCCGCAAACTGATCAATCCCGCATGGAATGCACCAGAACCGATTCAGGAGCAAGACGATCTACGTCGAATGACAATGAGCTATTCGGGGTTGACCTCAGTCTCCATGGCAAGTGAATCTCGAAACAGTATGACCATCTCACAAGAACTTTCTCAGTTGCATGAGGCCAGAGCGAATGGACTACGTCAGAAAGTATACACACACTCCACCTGTACCCCAACTAATGGTTTACTATTTCCGAGAAGTTTTGTGGAATCTGACGAATTGACTCGTTCGGAGCAAGAATTAGCTGAACAACAGCAAAACCATTCTCATCGTCATAATCAGCAGCACAGCCAACACCATCGTAACCATCACCATCACCAACAGCAGCAAAACAACCTTCACCAACACCACCAACACCAACAGCTGCAGCTGCAGCAGCAGCAACAACAACATCCAAAGCAGGTGATAGCAGTGCAACAAAATCCCTGTTCCACCGGTCCCACTCGTCCCATGAGACCACAACCATCTTGCCCGTCCATAAAACCAATGCATCAAACCTCAACTGAACCACCACCGCCGATTCTCCCGACCAGAACCACATCACTTTTACCGCGTACGCTGAACTCTCGAATGGATGATTCAGAAACACGTGTCTACGCTAATAGAACGGTACGATCAGGTGTGGATCCGAACGTACGCTCCCGGCCAAGGCGGTCAAATAGTAGTAACCATGGTAATGGAGAACCAAGCATGGGGAACGGCAACAGCAGTACTCACGTTCAGTCTGCAGATCGTCCCGATTCCGTTCACACGAGAAGCAGAAGTGATGTGACCATATCCAAGTTGCGATGTTATGTGAATACATGTGATGTTATTCCTACTCGTGAACCTTCTGAGTCAAATGTTCCAACCCAGCGTGGTACACCGATAATCGAATCCGTGATTGGCGATTCGGAGAGACATTCGAACGAATCGATTCAATTGTCCGAACATACCGGATCAACTTCAAACGGTTGTCGAACACCGGTCATCACTACTTCTGAACAAGATTCGCGGAATTGCATGGAATCTTCACATATGTCGCTATCTTCAAAACACGGAGCGAATGCCGCTCAAGAAACTCTGGCCCAAACCTTACCGAGTACCAGACACATCATGGGACAGCTGCACGTGAACGGGAATGTTCCCACTAGTGCATCTTGTGGTGTCCTAGATCAAGCAATGCCAATGAATCACGCTTCCCGACTTCTCGGGCGAATGTCAGATAAGCTACGTGATGGACGCTTGGCCGACGTGATTTTACTGGCTGGCCATGAATCACGTGAAAAGTCTTCTATTCACGATAATCAAAACTTCTCATCGGATTTGAATGTATTGCAACAAGGAACCAATGGGAAGTCCATGAGCGACGGGGTGCCAGCAGTAAAGATCCCCGCGCACCGAGTAATTTTGGCTGCAGCCAGTGATTACTTCGCGGCCATGTTTGGGAATGAGGTAAAAGAAGCTTCAGAGACCGAGATTTGGATTCACAATGTGGAACCGCATGCACTGCAAACGCTGATCAATTATATTTATACCGGTGAGTACAAAATTGCTTGCTCAGTATCCCAATAATTTCAATTTCGTGTTGATGTACAATGCACTGCACCCGTCAGAGACAACGTTTTACAAACCTTAGGCAAATGCTATCCATTTCCACATTATCATGCTAACTTCCTCTCCTATGTTTTCTATGTTACCGTATGCACTAAGCCGAAAGTCTATCTATTAGGGTGAATAAAACGATTTGTGTCTTGACTGAACTTAAAGTCAAAGTTATATTATGGGAAATACTTACAAGCGGTTGCTTTTCTTGTCCCATAGAGTTTTTTGCACAACGGGATCGATTTATGAATCATAGAGAGATAAGGACTGTCACAATTTTTTGTTTTATGTGCTGCTACGGATGTCGAAATTCGCCACATGACAATGTTTCATCCAGTTTTTGCTTGAAAAAATCAATTGTGGTCACGTAAATAAAAACGTAAGGTGGTAAAGAATACCAAGTAGTGCACACTCTGAGGGCAAATGTATGACGCCGGCACTCTAGCCGACAGTTTCGGAGTAATCATTTGAATAACTGCCCTGCCCCGAAGGTGGACAGCGACAACATGGCTGATCAAGGTTCTGTATTGTTTGAGACACCAAAATCAAGTTCCTTCGGATTCGGCGATACGGTGTGGATTAGAACTCCAAAGATTCCACTCGTTTCACATATTAGTCTTTAAATCCAGTTCCTTCACTCTCTTGGGTGGTCATTCTTTGTGGACGTTCCGAAATTTTGCAATGGCGTTCTAGCCATTGATTTCACACACAGATGTCGTACTCTATGTGGGGTCGAATGTAAGCTGATAACAAACGTGGGAACAGTATAGGTTCAGATTTGCCAGATACTCGCTCTAGCAAACCAACATGTCTTGCAGCGGCGGACGATGCTCCGGAGCAGTTTATAGAATAACTTAGGTTGCCCTGAATAATGGCATAGATCCTTTTCATTCGAGGCATACGGAAGTTATTGATATCCCAGGAAGTACGGAAACTGAGTTTGTGGCCAACGGATACGGTCGTACATTTTGATGCATTGAAGTCAACGTCTTTTTCGATCGAACATTGATGGGTGACACCAAGTGTTCTCTGAAGTGTCGGTGAAACCTCAAGTTTTGTCATTGTTTTCCATATTTTTGCATCGTCTGCAAACATCAACACTTGTGGCCTCAGAACCTCCGTTAGATCGTTTATAGAAACTGGAAAAAGTTGAGAGCCAAGAAAAGATTCCTATAGAACTCCTCGGGCAATGGTGATTGAATCAGATAGGGACCCAGAAATATGAATTGCCATTGTTCGTTGTCGAAGAAATTCTTTCATTCAAACCAGTAAAAGCCCCCGAATTCCATAGCTTTGTAGTCTTCTCAGCAGTATTTTGTGGGCCAGAGGTAGGTTAGTGGTACAGGATTGTCTGCAACGAAACCCATGTTGTACGGGGGATAAAACGTATTTGTCCAAGTGACTTATCACGTTGTCTGCAACAATGGATTCCATGATCTTGGATAATTCGGGGAGAAGAGTGACGGACCGGTAGTTAGCTGGGTCACTAAGGTAGCTACCTTTGTGTGTTGGTGAAATCATTCCTTGTTTCCATGTTTGTGGGAGCAGTTTTATCGAACATATGTTGAAACGGTTCACTGCTTAGATGAGCTATATCACTTGCCAGGTTGGCAAGGGTTTGTGGATGGATGTTATCTAGCGATGGATATAAATTCCATTTTAAACACTGCAGTTTCTATGCTAGAATTTCTCGGGAAAGTCAGTTGTGGTTAGCGTAGGATGCGGCATGTCCTCAATTAACGGAGGCAGTCGTAACCAACTTTGGCAGGTGTAGTTAACACTTGAGCGTACTGAATTTTTAACATTTCAACTGCCTCCTTCTTTGTGAAAGAGACAAGTTCTGTCAGTCCTAGCACTATAGCACCAGATAATACTTTTTTGTTGGGCCCTCATTAGTTTGTAAAAAAAGGTTGAGACTGGACATAATATCATGTAATGTAGTGAAATTCTAAAAGCTACAATTCATAACTCTGCTAAATGACCCTCAAAAATAAAAAAAACATTGTTTTCACAGAAATCCAAACTTTTGACCGACCGGCAACTGTACACAATCTTTTTTTAGTACGGTATCCTGAAAAGTTGTGAGGAGTTTATTAATCTCAGCTCAATAAATGCAACCTGAGTAAATTTCTCGCTATTTTCACTACAATAAATAATAAACGTTCCGACACAATCGACCAGTCCAGTGAGTAATCAGTTAAAACAAGAATAAACAAAATAATTTTTGGATTACCCACTAAAAGTGCTGAATCAAATTACAGCCAATATATATATATATATATATATGTCAAAAGAAAAGACCATATTACAATACTGCACGATTTAAGTCCAGGACGATTCGCTACATCTGAACATGGTACATACTGCATAAAACACAATGTTTATATATGACTCGAGCATAGCAACAGAGTAAAGTAAAATACATTAAAACGGACAAACATAAAAGAGGAGGGGCAAAAGAAACATTTCTCCGGGGTAAGGACAAACTAACTTAAAGTTCTTTTTGTTGACGCAAAAGGGTCTTCCATCGGTCGATAGAAATTGTCTCCGTAAACCTCACCAATTTTGCGCTTCGTGGGTTGTAGATAATACTAAACGTCGAGATTAGGTCGATCTGGTGTTGTGTTATCAGAAGATTTCGAGTTATGGCTGATGACGGAGTCTTGTAGTTTCGACCGTTGTTCCTATGCCGCAGATTCGACTTCGATAGAGTCATCGGACTTTGGACCCAATTCGGAATATGTTCAACCAGCCGGCTACGTATTTGTCGCTGTGTTCTACCCAGATAGTGCAGTGTTGCTATATGGTCGTTTCTTTTAAAGTTGACCTAGGGAAAGGCTTGCTTCAACAGATATATATATATATTCGCGTGTAGTTCAGTTACATGTGAGGAGTGGTGCGGGATACTTAATATTGATTGATTTGAATTGACTGACTGTCACTGAAGATGACACCTGAACAAACAGGAATTGGCAATTCGGTTCAGTCATGGTATGAGCTGGTTGGCACAGTGGTCAGGCACACGCCTTCCATGCGATGGGTTCGAAGTTCAAATCCCAGACGAAACGGTGGATATGCACTACTGATGAGCTCTAATAAGAGCGAAACTCGATTCCAGTGCTTACGAATGTATGGTTGAATCGACGAACTGAGGATTGTGCGTGAAGGTGAAGTCCAAAGGCTAATCAGTTCAAATCAATGGATACGTATATATGTATATATACAGGTATATATATATATACATGTATGTATATGTATATATATATATATATATGTGTTTGTCTGTGTGTGTATCGTAAGTCGGTGCTGAGCAATGGGCCGATTCAGGTAACAACAGTCATTTGTTCCAAGTTTGGTTTTGAACGATGCTCTACAGTGAGATAGCTCCATCGTTTCACATCCTCTTGTCCCTCTCAGTCATGAGCCCAAACAATAAACTCTGATCGTTTAAGCGACCTTTTCGGATCCTTTTCCGCGATTTTCCCAACTTTGAGTCCCTCAACCTGACACATGACGGCCTGATTACCCACTCGTAATGTTTATGTTGCTCTTGTTGTCACCTGTAGTAGAGCCGTATGATACTGGCACTCCTGCTATGAGCAGTTGAGGTTCATTGGTATTCTAAAGACTCGCGTCTGTAGACAACTTTTGGGCTCTCGGTCAGGTTAGCTGGGCAAACTTCACAGCTGAACCATCCGACCGATCGATGCATGAACCCGATCGATCGTGTGATTGTGGGACCTGTACAGGAGGATAAATTATGTATCTTATTCTGCCTTAGAGTTGGTATGGTGTGTATTGTGTATAACGTTTGCAATCAGTCATGGAGTGATGCAGTATCTGGACGGAAAAGAGTTTACTGGTCTAATCGTAACTCAAGCAACGGGTCCCTGTGAAACAATTGTAGGCTCGCACAGGCAACAGCATTTATACTAAAGTAATTTTTTTCCAATTAATAACAGACAAGTCTTGGTGAGTCTTTATAGCATTGGTTTTCTTGATTCCTTTATAATGAGCAGATGGAATGGTTCAGAATGTAATGGATACTTCCATTGCGTCAGTAGTGGTTGACCTAGACCATGATGAATTAAGAGCTGACTAAATAGAATAAAGCAGAAAATTACAGAAAATTAACACTGATAACAATTAAAATGTCAAGTTTGTGTACACTAATAGTCAGTTGACCTGCCTTTATTCTTTAGGACTTTTTCGAGGCATCAAATCCACCAAGTTTGTTATCAAGTAATTTTCTATCTTGTGCCGCATTACGTATCGCACGTTTGCCTCCAATGTCCAATGTACAGGTAGCACGTTGACTTCTCTCTTCGAAACAGAAAAACATTTTCAATCACATTGAGATCCGGGCTATTAGGGGAATCGGACCTTAGGGTCACGCATCTTTTCTGAAGTCGAAAAGGAAATAATAAGTGGACCAGACTCCTTAACTAAATAAATATACTAATCTTTTTACTAATCTATTTCTGTCCTCTTCACTGACATAACGAGAACTTTTGTTTCGAGCGCTGCTTGCTTCATTATGTTGATAACACTACGAACGTTTAAAGCGGTACACAAAAATGACTTTGATTTCAAGGTTGACTTTGACTTGAAAATGGTATTTCTCGAAGTCAGTGAGTTACCTATCAAACATAGATTATTATTATGAAACCTTATTTAATGCAACTTTTCTGCGGGTTGTTAAAGAATTTCATTTGGATATTCAATAGAGTTCCCATGATGGATAATATATTGGATAAAATAATGCCTCATAACAAATAACCGAGACTGCAAGGGTTGATGGAAATAATTTGGGATAGTTATTGAATCACATCTATTAGAATATATTGCGTTTTCATGCTTGATAAGGCTTGACATTTTCATGTTGAGATTATTTAATCTTGGCAACCAAGGTCAGGCACGTTTAATTGGAAATCA